GTTTGCAAGTGGACCAGTGGAAATCAGGCGGGGTCTGCATTCTCCTGTGGACCAGAATGTGCCGAGCATGGTTTGCAAAACCTTGTTCCAATTAACAGGTTCTAGGCCCCATATAAGCTTTTCCAATGCTAAACTATCACCTCCTTTTCAGTTTTTGGGTTAAGAAGATTGTTAAACGAAAGTCCATCTATCATAAATTTATTTATTTACAAAGGATAAATGGTGAAGGTGGGACTCAGAGTGATGACTATCAAAGTCTTTAGCCCAGCACCTTCATTTTTCTGCAAATTTGCCAATGGCAACTGATGGCAATAGTTTGACATCCTTTTTATAATCCTTTCACAATATTCCAAGCATAGATTTCTTTGGCTGACTACATATTGCAGTTGGTTTGATTTCTAAATTTCCTGCATTTGGATAAATTAAAAGACTGAAGCTTTTGATATACTAATCTCTCCACAGGGATCCAGCCCAATGCAAATTGTAGTCCCATTAACTTCAAGTGCTTATCATCTGGAACTTAATTTAAAGTCACTAGCAAAGAATGCTAGACATGCTTTAATGGCTATTGTCAAGGAGATAACTGAAAATTATGTGGATACATCTGAATTTAGTGATGCAAGTTTCAAGACGGACTTTAAAGGTCAACAAATTGTCACTCAGTTTTTTTTTAAGATTTTCCAAACTCCCATGATATATATAATATTTATCCTTCAATTGATGCAGTGATTGTTCTTTATGAAGTCAACAAAGTTACAGAAAATGTCCAGAACTTGATAAAGTGGATAATGGAATGCTACACTCATGCATGCAAGATCATCATCTGTTGTGAAGATGATGCTGATATCCTTGACTGCATTAAGAATCGTTGTGAACTTATTTACGTTGATGCCCCAGTTACTCATGAGGTAAACTCTATTATCCACTTATGCATAGCAAGACTGTTAGCTGTCATTTGTGTTCTGGTCAACTATTCAATTATTTTGATGTAATTAAGCATGAGATATCAATTTGATCATGCAATTTCCTGCTTGATTTAATAAGTTATTTCCATAATATGTGATTTCATAGGTGTTAAATAATACATATTATGATGGACTCTTTTGAGATGATTTCTTAATTAGAAAAGAAATAAATATTTGTGCAGTATCAATATATAGTAAAGCTTTGGGATCTACCATGGTATATTTTCTTCAATTTTATGTTGGATTAAGCTCTTCGAATTAAAAGTCATGCCTCACTAATCTACATGAACCTTTAAGTTTATGCTAAAATCTTTTTTCCTTCTATGATGTCTCCACTAAGATTGCATACTAAGTGAATATAGGATCCAAAGTAAATCATTTTTCCACTACATTTTTCAGATAAAGGAGGTTCTATTTCAGATAGCAATGAACGAGGGTTTTGAATTGCCTGCAAAGTTTGCTACTGGAGTTGCAACTAAATGCAAGCAGAACTTGAGGAAGGCGATTATGGCCCTTGAAGCATGCAAAGTGCACAAGTATGGTTATTTTGGGCTTACAGCATGGGTTTACATTTAATACCATTATCCTTTCTAATGTGCATGACATAATTACAGCTATCCATTTATTGATGGACAACCGATACCAATTGGTTGGGAGGAGGTTCTGGTGGAAATTGCAGCTGAGATTTTAGCTGATCCATCACCTAAAAGGTTGAATATCAATATTGTGAGAAAGTTCATTGTTCTTTTGTGGTTTCTTTTCATTTGCAATTCCTTATTATTGGATTTCATCCACTTTTTGTCCTGCTGTTTTCATCTTCTTGGATTTATGATCCCTTACTAACATTTTCTGCAGAGCAAATGCATACAAGCTAACTAAAATTCTATGATACACAGATATTCTGAATTATTTGCTGCATTGATATATATCACATGCAATACTTGTAGGATACTTGGGATATGTGTCACATGCAATACTTGTATGACACGTTAATAAGTTTCATGTTGGATGTGGGATGGGCATATAAAGCTAGTTGAACTTATTATTGATGATAAATTATGTATTTTGGACCAAGTAGTTAATGACTTGTGTATTCAAAATTGGACTACCAATATATGGCGAATATACCTCAAAAGGGAGTTACTCATAGCATGGAGCCTTGAGCCTCGTATATTCTTGGATAAACAAGTCATTAATTAGGAAAGACATACATCATAGCTTGGACCGGCAAATAATTATGGATTGTTTTAAATCTTGATGATGTCATCAAGCCTTTGCATGCAGGAGATTGCAAAACCCAATAGTCTCATATCAAGAGTTGGTGGTGGGTTTGGACTGGTATGAACTGTGACCATCATCAATACTTTGGATTTAAGCATTATAGGTCATATGGTCTATGTCTGTTGTATCCAAGCTATTGGGTCAGTAGTTTTATCGGATTGGGTTGTGACAGTTTGATTTATTAAATAATTATTGACAAGATTGGGTCATAGGTTTTGTTGGGGGATGTTTCACGAATGATTTTCACTACTTTTGGTTTGCTTGGATGTTTAATCATAAATTCATTCTTTATCAGTAGTAACCTTACTAAGACTCAAGTTTCTAGGTTTCAATGTTTGAAGATGCACAAGTAATACCTGGGACTTGTAAACCATAAGCCTAGAATAAGGTGTAATTTGCTAGCTTCATGATTTTCATTTCTGTTTATGTTATATATACATGAACATATACGAAAGTTGATGAAGAATGATGTTGGGCTTAGACTCGGTAAATATACCAAACTATATTTTGGAGTAGATCTATCAAAGTTCACATGTTTTGTCTGATATCACCATGTTTTCTGGCTTTTCTCCGAGTTCAGAGTACAAGTAGCTACTTGTCTTTATACTTGATAGCATTATGCTGCTAGATCTTCTTTCCCAACTGAGCTTGCCAGAGTTACCATAAGGTTGTTGTTTGTATACAAATTATAATGCAGAATCTTGAATTTATTCATGATAGTGAGATCAACAATGTAGGTTAGTTTCGACACGAGGAAAATTACAGAAGTTGCTGGTGGAATTTGTGCATCCAAGATTGATTCTCCAGGTAAATATATTGCCCCTTCATAATATAAATGCCTCTTGAAACTTTTTCTAATTGTCTTGATCCTTGAGGGTTTCACAAATAGGATATCAACTCTGACCTAGAAATATGTCATATTGAATGTTGTTATCCTCGATGCAGAAACTTGTGGAACAGTTCCTCAAGGGAATCGAAGCTCGTCTAAAAAGGGGGCTGTACTATTGGCATGCATATTATGTAAGTTCCACTTTACTGTATTGTTTTTTCTTTCGGGAGAAGGGGAGAGCGACATTTCATGGATGAGAAAGTTATAAGGATTTATCAATACGATCAAATTTTGCAGGATAAGAGATTGCCTGTTGGAACAAGTGCCTTGCTGAAATTAGAAGGTAGTACATTAAAATGTTGTGTTTTTTTTTATTACTATGCAATTTTCCGCTTTAAAATATTTAGTCTAGAATGTCACTTAAACTGAGTTGAAGCAATAATTAAGTTTTCAATTATCAAAATAATCTGTTAGGGACCTAGCAGCTACTGTTGTACGAATTATTTACTCTGGTTACAACACATGTTTCATTGATATTGTACTCATCTTAGATATTTTGTGACATAATAGGGAGGTTCATTGGCCTGGATGATGAAGTCAAGGGCATAATTATTGACATTAAACCGAACATCTGTCCCGAGTCATTCGAGTCTTTCCTAGGCGAATTAATTGGTCAAGCCGTAGATATTATTTTTTTTAAAAATAAAATAAAAATATATTATTTTAAATTTCTTAGAAAATTTTTAAATTTTATTTTTGTTTTTTTAGCAGAGTCCCCTATTTTCATTTTCTTTTAAAAAAAAGCCCTTCGGGCCATTCTTAGGTGAATTAATTGGTCAAGCCATAGATTTTATTTCTTAAAACAATATATTATTTTAAATATATATACTAAAAATATAAAAATCAATATATAAAATATAAAAAAAAATTTAAAAAAGGAGGCATACGTTGCCTCGACGACGTCGCCTCCTTTTTTCTTCTCCTTGTCGCATCAAACGAGGAGAAGAACGCGGTCTTCTTATCTGTGGCATTCGGCGAAGACGTCGAAGGTCGCAGACGTCTTCGGCCTCCGGCGAAGAACGCGGCGAAGGCCACAGGCATCTCTAGCCTTCGGCGGAGAAGAAGCCAAATCGTCGTCTCTTCGTTACCTCTTAGATCAAGATCGTCAAGGGAGGGCGGCACCGAATCGGAAAGCGTCGGGGTTCTCCCTCTTCTTCTAGCGCTTTCTCCCTCTTCTCCCTCTACGCTTCTTCTTCTCTCGTCGCAGCCAAGCTGATATCGCCCGGTAATGGGCGGTTCTCATATTGATTTGTTGGCGGATTGCTAAGTACTGCCCGGTACGAGCAGTAATTATTCGAAATTAAAATCCTTGTTAAAAAATAGAGGCTCTTTTGGAAAAAAATGAAGACAACATTCTGTGTAGGAAAAAATCAAAATTAAGATTTTTCTAGGGAATTTACCCCTTTAAATATAAAATATATGAATAATGTAAGGCCGAAGTAGACACCTGATAAGATGATAGAATAACAAATATAATTGAACCGTCTTTTCATTCAAACTTAAAATGAGAAATACTTAAATTTCCATGAGAATTTAAATATATAAAAATTATGGGCATTTTAATCTGAAGTGTCAACCGTCTAAGTAGCGAACCGTTCAGGTTTTATTAACTGTGCTTGAAATAGAGATTAAAGCACAAATGTCTTTTTATGTAAATAAAAATTAAATCTAATTAGTTAACCAGACCAATTGAGGGTGCGGTTTGGGTTTTGTAATTATGGTGGAGAGTAATTTTAATTTGATTGGGATCTAGAGGCCCTTTGATTAGACCTAGCAGTTTGAATGAGATTCGGTCAATCCATACCCATCCCTATGATTCTAAATGAGACTTAAAAAAAAAAATTTATTTGACAGTGGAAACAAGCTAAATTCCACTGCTGATTATTTTTATTCTCTTTGGCTGTCCATTTATTCTATTTTTCAATGTAGTCTGGTCTTTGATACATGACACAAGTATGACAGTTAACTTTGTTGCAGAATTTATAGCGAAGTTCATGAGCATGCACAGGAAAAGCTTTTCAAAACCTTTGTACATATAAAGCGACAGAGTTGAAAGATTCTTTCTCCTCTCCTACTGTGAATTTGCTCCAGGTGATTAAAAACCAATGACCGACATGAAATTCTGGGTGTCTTCTTTGGTGACTGCATCAGAATGCACATTCATCATGATTTTGTGAATTCATGATCTTTGCTAGTAAAAAAAACCCTTCCTTGTCAACTATATTGGTTATCCAGCTGCCTAGTTTTGCTATCAAAAGCCATTGTTGATGAGCAAGTAAATCGGCTTTGCATCCTAATTTTTTGGTTATCATTGGTAACATCCATGATACATGGGCAATAATGCTGCAATGGCTGATAAAGGACGGTTGCTAATGTTGTATGTCGAACATTCTTCTTATCTCTATCTTTATTGCATCCGAGTGTTCCTTCGATTTGCTCGCAATTGGGTGATGTTGTGTTGCAATTTTTCGTACATCATTATATTTCTAATGAATCCATGCAGCAATCAACTTAGGATCCACGTAGCAAACCTCATATTGTTGGCATCGTCGAATATATATATATATGTATATATATATATATATGTATGTATATATACATATGTATGTATATATACATATGTATGTATATACACATATGTATGTATATACACATATGTATGTATATACACATATGTATGTATATACACATATGTATGTATATATATATGTACATATATATATATATATATGTATATGTATATGTATATGTATATGTATATGTATATGTATATGTATATATA